CTGACAGTGGCCAGCACCAGGTGCCCCAGAGAGGCTGGGCCGAAGACAATGATCCAGCGATTTGTCTCCTGCCATCCCTCTCCAGCCTCTGACAAACAGAGGCCAAGGACACCATTTTATCCCCTGGCCTAATAGCCTTTTATGGACCTAACCTCCATGAAATTATCTAGCTTCTCCTTAAACTCTGTTATAGTCCTAGCCTTCACAGCCTCCTCTGGCAAGGAGTTCCACAGGTTGACTACACACTGTGTGAAGAAGAACTTTCTTTTATTAGTTTTAAACCTGCTCCCCATTAATTTCATTTGGTGTCCTCTAGTTCTTCTATTTAGGGAACTAATAAATAACTTTTCTTTATCGGCCCTCTCCACACCACTCATGATTTTATAGACCTCTATCATATCCCCCCTCAGTCTCCTCTTTTCTAAACTGAAAAGTCCCAGTCGCTTTAACCTCTCCTCATATGGGACCCGTTCCAAACCCCTAATCATTTTAGTTGCCCTTTTCTGAACCCTTTCCAAGGCCAAAATATCTTTTTTGAGGTGAGGAGACCACCTCTGTACACAGTATTCAAGATGTGGGCGTACCATAGTTTTATACAGGGGCAGTAAGATATTCTGGGACTTATTTTCTATCCCTTTCCTAATAATTCCTAACATCCTATTTGCCTTTTTGACCACTGCTGCACACTGCGTGGAAGTTTTCAGAGAACTGTCCATGATAACTCCAAGATCTCTTTCCTGATTTGTTGTAGCCAAATTAGCCCCCATCATACTGTACGTATAGTTGGGGTTATTTTTCCCGATGTGCATTACTTTACACTTATCCACATTAAATTTCATTTGCCATTTTGTTGCCCAATCACTCAGTTTGGTGAGATCTTCTTGGAGTCCCTCACAGTCTGCTTCTGTCTTGTCTAGCCTAAACAGTTTGGTATCATCTGCAAACTTTACTACCTCACTGCTTACCCCTTTCTCCAGATCATTTATGAATAAGTTGAAAAAGATTGGTCCCAGGACTGACCCTTGGGGGACACCACTAGTTACCCCTCTCCAATCTGAAAATTTACCATTTATTCCTACTCTTTGTTTCCTGTCTTTTAACCAGGAAACAAAACAGAAAACTCAAATAGGGGACTGTCCAGTTCAAAACCGGACACCTGGCAACCCTAACCATCTCTGTGATGCTGCCTGCTCCCTCTTGCTGCCTCTCTCAGAAGAAGCAGTGGGGGGGGGAGGGGAGGAGGAGAAGGGAGAGTGGACAGGAGCTGCTACTGCAAAGCAACCCATGTCTGCGGGGGGTAACAACTCCCCACTACAAACCCCCCACAGACAGGGGCCACAGCCAGTTGGGCAGATAGCCTAGCTCAGTCCCGGCTTACACTGGCTGAGACACCAAATCCCACTGCAGCTGAATTTAAAAGGCAATAGGAACTGGGGGACAGCGTACCCGGCTTCTCCTGCCTTTTAAATTGCAGAGGAGCAGTGGGGTTTGGTCCCGTACCCCACCATGTGCTGGGAATGACCCAGCTGCCTGTTGACTACTCCAGTAGTCAATACATGATTAAATATCTGCTTAATATCCCTAGTGTGACATTTCCATATTCATACATGTAAGTGTGGGAAGGGGGTGAGGGCTAGGGCAGAAAGTGGGGTGGGGGAAAGGCCTCCTGGGTGTATGAGCTGTAAGGAGAGACCAGGACTGACTGGCTTTGGGCGCAGGCTCCCCTGTGGCTAAAGTGGGGAACAAAGACTCCCGGTGCGCTCTCTCCAGGAACTGCAGGGCCAGGGATGCACTACTGCTGGTAACGAGCAAAGCTGCTTGGAAAAACTAGAATTCTTGTAATATCAAGAATCCTTATTCTCCAGCTACAGCCTCACTGACCCCAATTCCCCCATGCCCTGTAAATTCTTGTTCTGTGGCAGCACCCCCTTGCCTCGCTCCCTCAGTTTATCTCCCTTGTATCAGTTCAGGTGCTGCCCGGTGCCTGAGAGCCCTGCGCGCTCAGGTGTGAGTCAGGGCTGCGCCAAGGAAGGAGGGTGGGATGGGCACTGCCCTCGCAGCAGCTGAGGGGACAGGCTAGTGCGGGTATTTGTCAGTGACAAAGCAGCCAGAGGCTGGGTCTAGACTGGCCAGTTTTACTGGAAAATCAGCCACTTTACTGGAAAAACTTGCCAGCTGTCTACACTGGCCACTTGAATTTCCGCAAAAGCACTGACGATCTCATGTAAGATTCGTGGGTCTGGCCCATGAAAGCTCATCATCTAATAAACCATCTTGTTAGTCTTGAAAGTGCTACATTGTCCTGCATTGTCTGGAAGAACACTGACTTCCTACTGTAAGAAATCAGTGCTTCTTGCGGAAATACTATGCTGCTCCCGTTCGGGCAAAAGTCCCTTTTGCGCAAAAGCTTTTGCACAAAAGGGCCGGTGTAGACAGCTCAGCTTTGTTTTCCGCAAAAAAGCCCCGATCGTGAAAATGGCGATCAGGGCTTTTTTGCGGAAAAGCGAGTCTAGATTGGCACGGTTCCTTTTCTGCAAAAAGTGCTTTTGCGGCAAAGCGTCCATGCCAATCTAGACGCTCTTTTCCGCAAATGCTTTTAACAGAAAAGTTTTCTGTTAAAAGCATTTGGGGAAAATCATGCCAGTCTAGACGTAGCCCACGTGTTTTACATTGTATTTGATTGATATCCCTTTCAGTATATTTGTTTTCTTTGGACTTACTTCTTTCTCTGTATGTTTCTGACCTGCTACTTAGAAACATGTAACCTCCCATATTCCTCTTATTTATAAATCTCTCAACTGTCTCCAAGAGCTCTGTAGTGACATAAGGAAAGATACTTGAGCCCTGTAAGCTCATATGGAGAGTGAACACTGATTTGGCAAATACAAGCATAGGCACACACAAGTTATTGGAAACAGAAGAAAGTCATCATCTTATCTCTAGCCATAAATGTAAGTGGGAATATAAATTAAACAAAAGCAGGGATTATCCGGTATAAAGTTATCTAGTATATGTGTTGGTTATTGGATATTCAGAAAGTTCAAGGCACTTTTTTATGGCTTTTAAAAATATATCTTTAATGCTTCAGAGGCCCCAAAGTACTCTGTTTATTTATGGGCTGCTGTCACTGACCATACTGCGGACCCAGTTGGAAAATGACTGGTAGAAGCTTCATTCAGAGCCTGTGACAACCTTATTTAAAGGTATTTGATTTACAGTTTCCCTGACTTTTCTTGTGGAAGGAATGGCACTGGAGTCTGAGTTGATCATTTATCACATGAAGAGCATTGTGAGCTTGGAGGGTTCACATCATCACCCATTTGGCTCCTGTGGCGCCCCCTCCCTCCCCCGCTCCCTCTGAGGGCACATTTCAGGGGAGGCGTTTACAAAACCCCACATTTTAACACCCCTACTCCTGGTAAAATCCCTACCTGAGTGCGGTGCTGCCGGTAAAACTGCAGGGACTTAAGGCTCAGGGACTTACATGGCATTTCTAAGGGAACCCTAACTCACCAATTCCCACGCTCCTGTGGCGCCCCCTCCCTCCCCCGCTCCCTCTGAGGGCACATTTCAGGGGAGGCGTTTACAAAACCCCACATTTTAACACCCCTACTCCTGGTAAAATCCCTACCTGAGTGCGGTGCTGCCGGTAAAACTGCAGGGACTTAAGGCTCAGGGACTTACATGGCATTTCTAAGGGAACCCTAACTCACCAATTCCCACATCATTGAAACTCACGCACTGATTAAAGTAAAAAGTTTGTCAGGGATGGTAGGTAAGAACATGTCACAGATATGAATCTGTTCGTTTTTGTGATGCAATGGCCATGTGAGAGCAGAGATCCTGTGGTCAGATTGGCTGCTGGTATTCAGAGCCCTTTGAAATGGACAGAAGTCATGTTATTTTCATGCCACAGCTGCTTGGGAAAACTGACCAGCAGAAGAATCAGAAATTGTTTCTTCTGAGGGAGGACTTCCAAAAATGGAAATTGTGACAGTGGTGGAGTAGAGGCTCTCCATAGTCTGGAGTCAGCAGACTTGCTCTGGGGTTGAGTGGAATAGTCAAATGCTGTGTTCTTTCTCGCTCTCTCTCTTTCAAGTGCAGATGACATGTTGCCAGGAAACTTAGGAGATGGGGAGGGGAGGCAGAAAGCTTTTTCCCCTTTGGAGAATTAGAATGGTGTGGAAATTCAGGTTTCCAGATATCTACTAGCACAGACCAATAGTGATCAAGTCCAGAGACAGCTGTCTGCCAGAAACTCCTCATCCCATGTGACGGTTCACCTCTGGAACTCATTGGTACAGACACAGGTTATCGTTTCTGTCTGCCTGTGACTGAGCTCTCTGGCCTGTAAGTGTCTTGTACATTTTTCTGGCCATGATGCAGACTGACACATGGCGAAAAATTGCAGCGAGTTATCTGATTGTAATTCCGATTGTTTTGTGTGTTTCTGACTTCATCTGACACCACCTCTCCTGATGTGTTCCTATACTTGCCCTCTTCCTTGGTAGTGCTTTTGGGCCTGGGATATCCTAGCAGCTCTAATATGTTTATTCAGAATTCCTAATACTGTTTTGTTTGTAGCAGTCATCCTAGTACTCCACTCATTCTGCTTGAGATCAGGACGAACAAAAGATGCACCAAACTACCTTAGGGACTCCATAAGAGCTGCATGTGTGGGCACTAAAGAGCCACAGCTGACTCCAGAGCTAGCGACTGAGCTAGGCTACTAATTCCCATTCTGACCATATTCTTATCCGATAAATGTTTTTTGTTTTGTTTCATTTTTAGTTCCCATTTCCTGCTTTGAGAATAAAAAGGATTTCTTGATCTTTTATTAACTGGATTCTCCCTTCAAGATCTCTTAAACGTGTTAATGAATAGCTGATGTTTGTGCCCTGCCAGGTTCTGTAGTGAGCTCTATAAAATACAGACAAATGTTCCTCAACACTATAAGTCTGGTCTCTTTCATTTTGTTTTTGTGGGTTTCTGGCTAACTTGTTCAGGCAGGTTTTGTTCTGGTCTTGCCCAAAGTAGCACGTGTTGCTGATGTTCGATACCAGGAATTATTTTTTAACATATTGCCATGCCACACTCACAATATAAACCTCTTGTTTTGTTTCTCTACCGTGTTGACCTCACACAGCTGAACAGCAATTAGAATTTGCCCTGTTTTTACTATTGCTACCATTTCTGCTTATGGCAGCCTCAAACTAATATGGTTCATGTCATTTTTGCTATTCTGCACCATCATCATCAGTGAAGTGCTGTATTAGGGGTGGGGAAGCTAAGGGCCAAGGGCCAAATGCAGTCCCTGACCCCAGAGCTTAGGGATTCCACCCCTCTCCCCCAGCTTTGGGGAGCCTGTGCTGGCACTCCAGCCTCCACTGCCCTCTGGCCAACTGATTTTTCTGTTTGTCAGTGGCCCCTAACTCAGAAAAGGTTCCCCACCCCTGTGCTATATGAAGGAGCAGCAGTGCTGGTAAGGCAAAGGGAAATTGGAGGAGAGGCCAGGACTACTCAAACAGGAGAAGAAAGAATTGTGGTAGGGGTGTAGTGGCAACACATACATTCACAATCGTTTAATCTCTTGCTCATTGGACCAAGCAGGGATGGACATGGAGATGCTTGCGTCCATCAGATGGAATGAGGAGCATGGCCATACAAGACTTGATACAAATAGCGAAACAAAGATACAGGAGGAGAAAGAAACACAGGAACAGAAGGGTGGTTAGTGTGTGCAGGAAGGAAAATAGGTTAAATTTAAAGGTGCTAAAGTGCCAGAGTAACAACCATCGTGTAAATAGTATATAGCTAGACAACAGGAAAAGACCCAAAGAAAAAGAGAATTGCTCAGTTTTTAGGGGAAAGATTCCATGTGACTGTTCTGATTGTTGATCTACTTAAGGAGGGCTAGTTACCTTTTGATAGCTGAAATAAATGTTTATGGAGACAAACATCTGGTCTTTCAGGAAGGGGAGTGGGGGAAGGACACACTTCTCCCTAATCTCCCTCTTACCCCAGCCCCCTTGGCTTTTCTATATTTGATTGGGTGTGTATGTGCTGTTAGGAACACACTGCTCACAAATAAAGGCAACCCTTATAGTTTAATATGGGCTTGCTATTTTGATGCATCATTTGTTGCTGGTATGTGTGGAACAGGCATTAACAACTACGTTTAAGGGCAGTGCTGAGCTTGTTTAAAATGTTTTACCTTTTTTCATTGCAATGCATACCTTTTGCATGCTCCCGGTGAGGGGAAGAGTTCTAGAGAACCTGTCCAAAGATACTTCAAAAATGGCTTCATGCATTCACCACAGCTTCTCATTAGGTGGTCATCACGTAGGACCCCCTGTGGACAAGGTGTATTGAGGCTAAGGGAAAGGTTACCTTTCCATGGCAGTGTGAAACAGATGGTGCTTTTTCTGTCCCTCTCCTAGTTTTCTTTCTCTTGATTACACATTTAATGTCGTCTTCCACTCTTGATCTTCCAAGCTCTGATGATAATATAATACAGAACTCACAGATCCAAGAGTGCTGATTTATTAAGCCTTTGCATAAATGCACTTATGCAAACAGGTTTGATGGTAATAATTTCAGACGGAGGATAGAGAATTGATAGTATCTCATTACTGCCAATAGGGATTCACAAGTGATTACCTATAGGGCTAGGTAAATCACAGGATTTGCATCGTAACAGGACAGACCAAAAGAATCAAAATGTGAAGTTTTGTTCTAGGTTGATTCAGGCAGGCACCCTGGTTAGGCTGTAACTACGCAGGAATAAGTGGTTTCACATAGACAGACCTTTATTAAGTGGCCAGGTTCTAGGCTGGCAGTTTACCTGAGTGCTAATCAGGGATGGGTGACAGTCTGTGCTCTCCACGGACCAATGGGGAACCACGGTGGCCTTGGCTAGTCTCTGAGACAGCTACTGATCTGTGTCAATTCCTTCTTCCTACTGCTGCCATTTGTATGGTGGTGTGCTGAGGCCTGATGGCCCATGCTTCCAAGACACTCACCCTGGAGTCAGAATTTCCCAGGCGAGCCTTCCAAGAGGTGGCTGCACTTGAGCAGGAGTCTTGTTGATGCTGAATGCTAAATAAGCCCCCTGTTGCATTTATACCAGCTTGTGAGCAAATACTGAGGCCTGCCAGTGGCAGCAAAGTGTATCCTGCCAGTCTGTCTTATAAAACTGTTTGCTTCTCCCTATACTTAAGTAATGTCCAGGGTTTAGCTAACACATTATAAAGGGGGGAGGGAAGGAGGAGATGTTGCAAATGCCATTCCAGGCTGACACATCAACCTTTAATCAGATCACTGCGACTGCCCCATGAGTGCATAGTACATTGGTGCTGCAGACATCTTGTTTCTGTTCAGTTATGGGGAAATAGGTGAAGATTGTTGGGGAACGGAAAGGTCAGTTTGTGAATTCTTCTGAATATTTAAAATTCCTTTTCTGCTCTTCAAACGCCACATGATTAGGCTCTGCTGCCATCATTTCATTCAGGCAATTGGGAACGTCATATGGAGCTTTTCAGCACTAGGCCCCAATCTCTGATAGGATCCTGACTATGGGGACAAAAACAAAACCTGTCTGTCCTCACACTGTCCCCAGCACAATGATTTGGGGGGAAATTCCACAAGAATAACTTGAGCATTTTCCTTTCACAAGCCGGGAACGGGGTTCGTGATTGTTCATCATGCAGAATAATCACACAGCAGCAAGTATTTCGGCATTACCCTGCCCTTTAAATTGTTTTCTGCCCTGGAAAAATGAAAGCAGTTGGGCCCTGACTTGCATTCATTTAAAAAGTGAAATTAAATTCCTGAATAAGGGTGATCATTTTCATTTCTGAAAATTCACTGGTAGTATTGACCACCTAGGTTGTTACAGCACTGCTTTGAAGCTGTTGCAGACGTTGTGAGAGAAAAGGTATTGTATGAAGATTTTAGTTTGTGTACAGTGTTACAGTGTTAAAAATAGTGTGTGTGTGTGTGTTTGCTTTTAGTAACATATGCACTGACTTTTCTGGAGTTTAAATTTGAGTTCACAATACTGCTTCTGGGTATTTTAGCTTCTCTGTGATGTAATTTGTGTTGTTCTATGGAAAAACGTAAATATAAAATTGTAAGATTAATTTCATTTTGCAAGATTTTTAATGTGTATTTCAGCCAAGTGCAGATAGTTTGGAACTGTACAAAAAGGGGAGGAAGGGTGAACGATATCCTTTCCACCACTTAGGGGTTTTTGTAGACACACCTCAAACTTCTTGAGGCTTGGGCTTACACCACCTAATGTGTATTTGTCCTTAGTGGAAAAGGGTGACTCTCTGCATTTGGTCTGAAGAGTGAAGAGACTCATCCTGGGCGGACTTTTGGTAAAATAGTCTTATTGTTCAGACTTTAATTAAAGAGCTATTTTTGCTGTGTGTAGTAATGGTACGTAAAGCACATTTTTTCATCTGCAAAAATGTCAAACCTCTTTTAAAAAAAGAAAAAGAAAAAAAAAAGCTCACTCTACAGATGCTATTAAAGTCCTAGTAATGTCTTTGAGGCTAATAGGACTAGTGTGGGAGATCAGGACCTATTATTACTCTGAATTTTCATTAACAATATACTAGTATCAGTGTCAGTCTGTCAAAATAAATGTGTGCTAATTGTTGCTAATTACTCTCTTATAGCAGTGTTCAATTTTATGTTTTCCTTTTGGGCTATATTTTAAAGAAGTGGGCTAATAATCAAAGTTCTGATGCAATCTGCTCCAAGAGTTACTTCAGACACAAACACAGCAGCTGACAGTCATTATTTTATTTTGCTTTCCAGGAAAAAGAGATCAAGATCTTAGTTGCAGAGATTGATCGACTGAAGAACTTTGGCTGCTTGGAAACATCTCCAAGTTTGGAGGGACTGCGAGACGAAAACGCAAAGCTTAAGTATCGGCGAAAGGTTCTTCAAAAGGTAAGGGAGGAAACAGGTATTGACAGTGTGTTAAATTTTGGTATATGGTATATGCTTTCCTTCTCATCAGCATCAGAGATTTGATTTTGTTACAGGTATATTCAGGGCTTGACAAACCCCGGCGAGAATTCTTTCACAATTCTTTGGACAATGTGGCTTTCTGATCACATTTCAGTATAATTGCCTGCAGACTGCCAACCATGCCCTCTAATTTCTTCTGTGTTCTTAAAGTAGCCTACTACTGTTAGAGTTGAGATCCATCTGTGATCAGCTGATGGGCACATACATAAAAGTATGAAAAGGTTTGTTATACCTGAGCAAGGGAAAGTCTTACCACTGTTGAGTTCCAAGAGTAGGGGTTCTATACTAAAAATCTGGGAATGAAGCCTTAAGTGAGAATGGTAAGAAAAACTATTTTATCATTCTAGAGAGTAGTGAAAACGGACTAAGATGTTGACTAAAAGCAACAAATAATTTTCATAGTTCAGAGTGTGATGTAGTAAATAAATACACTTATGGGGTGAAATTCATGCCAATCAGAGGGATCTAGACACAGCCCTATGTATCACGGGTCACTCATAATGCATATACAGTAAAACTCTGATGGTCCAGCATCTGATGGTCTGGCACTCCTAATGGCCCAGCACCATCAGGAACCCGGAAGTGCTCCAGGCAGCCGGACCATTGGAGCTGCTCTGCCCCCAGCTTCCCCGATCCAGCTGCTGCTAAAACTGACCAGTGGCTGAATCGGGGGAGCTGGGGGCAGAGCAGCTGGAGTGCCGCCGGGTAGGTCCCGTAGCACTGCCCCTCAGGGCTACGGGACTAACCCGGCAGCACCCCAGCTGTCCCCGATTCAGCTGCTGCTGAAACTGACCAGCGGCTGACTCCAGGAAGCCCAAGGCAGAGTTGCTCTGTCCCCGGCTTCCTGGAATCAGCCCCTGCTCAGTTTCATGAAGAGCCGACGCGT